CTGCTTGACCTGGAGGGCAGCAGCCTGACGCCCATCCTGGTGTCACTGGTGAAGAAGGACGCGTCCATGCTCGACGCATTCGGCAAGGTGCAGAGACGGGCCGCCCGCCTTTCGACCTGGAGCGCGCAACAAGCCAGCGTCCGCATCCACAACGCCAGCCTTCCTTGTTTTTAGCATCGATTCGCTGCCTCAGCGTCATGTTGCACCACCCCGCCTGCCTCCCTTGCCACCACGCCTCAACGCCTCCACCTTCGAACACCCCTGGGGCGCTACGAGGGCATTGCCACCCCCTGGCCCCAGGCGCCTCACCCTTCCGCCCCACTCGTTCACCCCGTGGTCCCCTCTTGGCGCCTGCAAAAACAGTTCTCGTCGTCTACTTGCGGCACCCTCCATGCCAGAGGCCGTCCCTCAATCAGCCCCCCACCTGCCCATAATCCCCTTTACACAACCCCCCAGGGCGCCAGCGAGGACATCCTCAGCGCCAAGAACGCCCTCTACCAGCACCTCACGTGGGACCCCTCCAAGAACGTGTCGCTCTGCCCCAAGCTCGCGCCCCCGCTGGCGACGCCCGTCGTCATGTCCCCGCCGCCGTCGCCGCGGCCCGGCCACGAGAGTGAGTCGCCCGCCCGCCCCAGCCGCCGCGCGTGGCCCCCGTCCAGACGTGGGTTTGGGCCGCGTCGGGCTATTCACATTGCGTGCGCACGCGCCTTACTTTTGTGCGCCGGCGGCGAGGCTGGCGGGTGCCGGGGAGGACAACCCCAAATTTCTCATCCAATCTCATCGATCGACGGGCAGTGGCCCGGCTGACGACTCACTTGTGTCATGCTAATCTGAGGCACCCTCTACACGCCGTGTCCGCCGACGCCCAACACACACTTTTTCCTTGATCGCAGCATGCTGCAAACCCACATTCTCATGCCCAACGCGTCTCCCACTCCCTGCAACCCCGACGCACGTCAGGCGGCTGCGTCTCGCCGCAGCCGTTCAGCTCCAGCAGCGCCGCCGCGGCCGCGGCGGCCGCCGCGCGGCGCTTCAGCTTCTCCGGCGCCGGCCCCGCCGCGGCGCGCGCCAGCACCGGCGCGGGGGCGCTGTCTGACAGCGGCGCCGGCAGGTGCGCCGGCGGCGCGCGGCGCCACCTGCACGCAAACCATACCTGAGTTCCTTTTGCCCCAGCGTGTCCGTGGCATGTGTTATGGCACGCGGCAAACGCCAGCATGGCGCTCCACGCCTCCCACGCCCTCACCGCTCGCGACCAAGGAACGCTGCCGCAACCGCCTCCGCAGGAGCGACGCGGGCGCCACGACTCTGCTGCCCGCGGCGGCGTCCGCGCCGCAGCAGGGCGGGAGCTACCCCGCTTCCAACGGCAGCAGCAGCCCCGGCCCCGAGCCGCGGCTGGCCGGCGCCCTCAACCTGGCGCGCGGCGACAAGTGAGATCCGGGGACCTGGGGGTTTGGGAAGGGCAATTGCTGGGGGCGCCGCTGCTTTCTTGGGTGTGCCGCGCCGTGCTGCAGCCATCCTGCGGCATCAAGCCCTTGCCAACCAGCAATGAAGATGCCGTATGCACCACCTGGAAAGGATTTGCTTTCTCACAACCACACTACCGCCCCCTTTGCTTCGACGCGGCCCCAGGGACCGCATCATCGACGCCGCCACCGCCAGCGGCGCCACCCTCCACCAGATGGCCACCGTCGCGGCCGCCATGCTGGCCGGCGGCGGCGGCCCCGACGCGGGCGCAGAGGCGCGGCGCGCGGCGGACGCGCGCGCGGCGGCGGTGGCGGCCATTAGGCTCATGCCGGAGCGGCCGCTGGAGCTCCTGCACAGGATGGTGGAGCTGATGCGGGTGAGGGCGCCAGTGACTGACAGGCCGCGGCGGTGGTGTGTGTGTGTGTTTTTGAATGGGGGGCGTTTTGGTGAAATGACAGTGTCGGACGCCTGCTTGATTGTTGAAGCACGGGCGATTGAGCGCATGGGTGTGCAGTGAGGAACCCCGTCAGGTCGGCTGCAGGACACGCATACTTGACCGCCTTTGGGGCAACGGTGCAGTGGAGCAGCGCGCCGCCACGCCTCAAGTCGCGCTGTCGGCGCCCCCTCGGTGGCTACAGCCGGCGCCCGGCATGCAGTCGCACCCGGGTGGGACAGTGTATGCGTCAGCAATTGCGCTGCCCGTCAACAAACATTCTTAACCCCAATCCCAGATACTGGTTGATCTGCTGAGGGAGAAGTGCCTGGAGGAGAGGGGCGAGGCCGCCGCGGCCGCGGCCGCCGCCGCCTCCGCCGCCCCCAACAGCACCGCCGCGGCGCTCGCCACCGCGGCGGCCCCCGCGGGCGCCGCTGGCGGCAGCGGCAACGGCGGGAACGGCGGCGGCAGCGCCAGCCAGGCGCCGGAGGAGTGGACCCTGGACCCCGCGCGGCCGTGCGGGGGCGAGCGGCCGCTGCTGATGTTTGACCGGTGGCGGAAGCTTCTCAGGTCCTTCTACTCCGAAAAGAAGGGCACGTTCGACATCTCAAAGGTGCGCTCCCCCTGCAGTCGTATACAAGCATAACATGGGGCTGTGTTTATAGGCGGAACTTGGGCAGAGGCAGCCCCGGCTTGGCCCCAGACAACCGTCCACGCGGCATGCCACATTCACGCGAGCACGCGCCACGAAGCGGCCTGGCCCCCTGGTTCTACACACCCCTCGGCGCGGCATAACGCATTCGCGCAAGCACGCGATCGAGTCGGTGAGCCTCAACCTGTTGACGGCGGGCGTTTGTCGCCCATCTGTCGCCCGCTGAATTTGAATTTCTGTGCAGGTTCCGGACATCTACGACAGCGCCAAGTACGACGCCATCCACAACGGGCACCTGGCGCTGGCCCCCCTGCAGGTTCGTGCCGCAGACCCTAAGCTCTCCTCTCGTGTGCGTCAGCACTTTAAGTTCTCATAGGAAGCTGCCCGTCAACTCTTGAAACAGACTATCAGATTCGCAAGCCAGGCTGCGTGCTGGCCCTGTCACTAGCCAGCTTCTCATTCGCACTCTGACGAAGTGCCCTCTTGCCCTTTCAATTTCGACCCATCTGCACCGTCATGGTCACCCACGCACACCAGTTTCAAACCCTTACTCACCCTGACTCACCCAACCCTCACTTTTCAAACCCACCCCACGCAGGAGCTGTACGCCAAGGCGCGTCAGCTGGCGGCCTGCGTGGTGCCGCACGAGTACGGCCTGGAAGCCGAGCAGAAGCTGCGCATCGGGTCCAAGATCGCGGCGGAGCTGCTCACCAAGCTGCTCATGGACCTGGCCTCCATGCAGGTGCGTTGGAAATCGCAAGACAAGGTCCTGGGAGGATGTCGGTGGGCGAGGCGCGGCTGTTGACCTCGGTCAACGACAGGGAGGCGCTCGGATTACCTGCACGTATGTCTGCTTTGTGGGGCCACGTGAATGGCGCTTCGCACCTTGAGATGCCGTGCACAGGGATCGAACTTGAGCTCGGCCCCTTGGCCGGCACTGCGGTTTGCAAGGTGGGCTTTGCCGTGCAAAGATGACTGCCCACCACTAACCCCGTACCACCACCACCACCACCAGTACTACCTGATCACCCACCAACGTGTCCTGCGACACCACTCACCCGCCGGCCTCCCCTCCTCCCACCCACCCAGGACGAGTCCATGGCGACGGCGGCCATGGAGCGCGACATGGCGGCCGCGCGCGGCGGCGCCGGCAGCGCCGGCAGCGGCGGCGGCGGGCGCGGCGGCCGGCGCTCAGTGGTGAGCCGCGGTCGCGCGATTGCACGGATGTCCACAATTTCAGCAGACTGTGGGCTAGCGCTGCATTGCCACCTGTTTTGCTGGATGAGCCAATGTGCTGGGGCGCTCCCTGGCAGTCGTGCTGCCTCCGCTCCTTCCCGCCCAGCGATCCTCAAGAGTACCCACCCTCTCTCCTCCATCACCATCACTGCTTCCCAGGAGTTTTACGACGACGCTTTCGACTCTGAGTTTGGGAAGATGTCGGTCGAGGACTCACGCATGCGCCCCTTTGGCAGCGGCGGCCGCCCCCCTGGCGCGCCCCC